TGAAGCGCGTTGCGGGGGATCTGTGGAGCAGCGAGCGGGAACTATCCATGCATCTTGCCGCCACCGGTATGCCAGGTGAGTTGTGTGTGCTTGTGCGCGTTGCGTGAGCGTACTGACACGCCTCTTTCTCTTTCTCTTTCTCTCTCTCGCGCGCGCGCACACACACACACACACAACACACACAACACATAAACCTCTAGGTGTCGTGCCGCTGCTGGACACGTTCTGGGATCGGCCGCTTGGTGAAGGAGGGAAGACGTCAGCTCGCGTGCTGGTGATGCCATTCCTCACATGTTTGGCTCCTCGCGGTCACTGCATTCCGCTCAAGCACGTTGACGTGGTACTGTGCCTGCACAACCTGCTGACCTGAGGAAGCTGCACGAGCGGCGAGTCGTGCACATGGACATCAAGCCCTCCAACCTCTTCGTCATCTACGCCAACACCGCTCCCGCCGATGCCAACGACCAGGCCGAAACCCGTGACCGCACCATCTCAGAGTTCCTGCTTTCCGATTTTGGCCTCTCACGCGTATGTCCCCTCCCACCATTTGCACGGTTGGTTGGTTGGTTGGTTGGTTGGTTGGTTGGTTGGTTGGTTGGTTGGTTGGTTGGTTTACATCTACACTTGGGCAGAGCAAATAGCGGCGGAGAGTTTGACTGACACCTATCGTGCAGGTCGCTGGGAGTCGGTTGCACGAGCCTGTGGGCACACGTGACTTCATGCCCACGGAAGTAGCGTTGTTAGGGAACGACCATGAGGACGACGAGGCTCACTGTCACCACCACGACAACTACCTTGAGGTGAGCCCAAAGCAGGACATCTACAGCCTTGGCCGAACGATTGACTGGCTGCTCAATCAGAATCCCCTCGGGTACATGTGCCTGCTTTGCACGTGTGCCATGCCTGTTGTGCGCTTCCCAACCTGAGCAAAAAATCTATGGCGTGCCAGGAAACAACAAGAGAGACCAATTCGCATGCTCACCCGAAAGATGCAGCACGCCCACGTCAATCAGCGACCAACGGTGAAGGAGGCCCAGCAGCTGTTCCAGGAGTTTGCCCTTCATCCAGATGGGCCGACCAACTCGCCGTGACAAGGGTGCGCTTGCTTCGGGGCTTTGCCGCCATTAGCGTTGGCTTACTCACCAACACCTCAAACAAC